CAACGTTGATTTGACAGTCCATCCTGATGAGAGGAGGACCATGAGCAAGAAACACAGAAAGATGGTGTTGGAAGGTATCAGCAATCTCAACAACCATGATCGTGTGATGCAGTCCAGTCTTGGGATGCAGCCTCAAGTTTCCAATGGGACTTCAAGGGTTGCAGTCATCACGTCGCATCCGACTCTTTTCCAGGATCTTTTCGAGCACACCTATGACGTCGGCGTGAATGCCGCGTATTTGGACGGTGATGCTGAGCCACGTGGTTGGAGTGACATGTTCGAGGGTTGCACATTGATCATTGTTGCAATTGAGTACAATTCAGAACATTATCCACTGTGTCATGGGGATCTTGTGTTTGAGTTGGAACAGTATTGTGATGCCACAGGGTGTAGATTTCTCATTGTTGATGTCGCGCACACTGAACGATGGGAATCATTCAAAACACCACAGATTCCATATATCAACGAAGTTGGTCTCGCTTTTGTGTCAAACGATGATGAACTCATTCAGGGTTTTCAAAACTGGTCTATGTATCGACAATTGGATGACGTTTTGAATTGGGAGTTTTGTCAATGGATTCGTGATTGGTCACTTGAGCGTGAATTGGAGGACCAGATGAGCGTTGCCTTCCCAGCAGAGATCATTGAAGAGGCTCAGGAACATGGTGGAAACGGGGATGCAGTGGATGGTCCAGATGATGTTGCATTGCAGGATCCAGTTGAGGACCTGACCCAAGAAGAGACTCTTTTGGATGAAGTTGATATCCCTGGTTTGCCAGAGGATGAATCAGAAAGACGTAGGTCTTGGCGTAAACTTCCCCAGCGTGTCAGGATTGCTGTGCGTAGGTTGCACAGGGCTTTTGGACATGTCCCCAAGTCGGTGATGGTCAATTTGGTGCGTGCTGCAAAGGTGAGTAAGGAGTTTGTTGATGCAGTGAAATTTCATAGATGTGAAACATGTGAGAAAACATCAGCCAAGAAACCCACTCACAAGGTCACGCTTCCCAGTGATTACACATTTAACCATACTTTGGGGATTGATGTACTGGAGTTGACAGATGTAACTGGGCAGAAGTATCAAGTTCTCAACATGGTTTGCATTGGTACTTGTTTTCAAGAGGCTGAAGTCGTGAAGGTTGGAGCAGGCCAAGCTTCTTCGCGATCCTGTTTGGACGCACTTATCAAACGTTGGTTCAGTTGGGCAGGACATCCTGTTGCTATCATGTGTGACCGTGGATTGCACAATCGTGGTGTCTTGCAACAATACATGGATGAACACAACATTCAAGTGCACCATGTGCCCCTTGAGAGCCCGGAATCATTGGGCCGAGTAGAGAGGCATGGTGGTTTGTTGAAAGCTCTTTTCAGACGAGTGTGTACAGAAGTTGGGGCTTGTACCAAAGAACAGGTTGAGTCGTGCATCACACAGGTGCTTAGTGTGAAGAACGACTCTGCACGTGTTGGAGGTTTTCCTCCATCCCAGTGGGTGCTTGGTCGAGCTCCCCTTGGTGCAGCTTCACTCATGTCAGAGGAAGATCATGCGCAGCTCGGAGCCATTCAGGCCCGACATGATCCTTCATCAATTTTTGCATTACAACACTTGGCCAGAATTGAGGCACAAAAGGCTTTTGTTCACCTTGATTGTTCAAGAAGAGTTCAACGAGCGTTGACACGCAACGCCAGTGTGTTTGATCGTGAGTTCAACATTGGTGATCTCGTCACTTTCAGACGAGACAATCAACGAGGAGGAACTTCCTGGTCACCAACATGTCGTGTGATCGGACACGAGAACCAGAAGAACATATGGTTACTATGTGGTAACGTTCCGGTACTTGTAGCTTCTCACAACATACGCATTGCTTCTCCTTCTGAAGCTCTTGCTCAATCAGTGTTGAATGGTGAACCTGTGATTCCATACAAGATCATCAATGATACAGGTCAACAAGCGTTTCTTGATGCAAGGCAAGCAGATGAGGTTGAAGTTGTTCGTGAAGGTCCAGGACAAGCAGACGATGTTGAAGTTGTCCATGAGGACAATGTGGATTCAGCACTCCCTCCTATACCAGAGATACCAGAAGATGAATGGGATATACGACCTGGTTTCTTTGAAGAAGGTGAAGAGGAGGAAGACACTGGTCCTATGGAAGAAGACATCTTTTCACAGAGTAGAACTCCAGAAAGAAGAGTTGAAAGACCACGTCCAGGAGATGGAGATCATGAACGCAATGTGAGACCTCGAGTAGAGTCTCAACTACAGCCTGAGTCGGAGAGAGGCTCATCACTTGTGCCATCTCGGAGAGACTCCTTTGTGCCTGATCTTACTCCAAGTGGCTCCGTTTTGGGACCACTATCCTCGCCGTCAGCATCATCTGGGCCATTGCGAAGGGAACTTTTGGATGACTTACCACATCAATTGCGAACACATCTTGAAAGAGCTCGTGAGAGAGACTCAGAACGAAGTCCTGAAGAACAACAAGAAGCACGAGCATTGTTTGCATCATTTTTGTCCCAGGAAGTTGAAGTCCCTGAGGACGAAGAGCAAGGTAAGAAAGTGTTGAAATCAATCCACTATGAATCAGCGTCACCTGATGTACAGAAGAACATCATGGATGCCAGAACCAAGGAGTGGAGCAAGTTCCTTGAGTTCGCTGCTGTTGTTGAAATTTCAAAAGAAGATGCTGAGAGGTTGATTGCTGAAGGACATCAATGTATTCCTAGCAAGTGGGTTGATGTCGACAAGAATCAGTTCATGAAAGGAAGATCAGATCAAGAATATGTGCCAAAGTTCAAGAGCCGGTTGGTATCATGCGGCAATTTCGAAGTCAGTGAAGGTTTGAGATCAGACAGTCCTACAGCAGATACGGAAGCTCACAACATTCTTTGCTGTTGGGCGGCGATCCAGGGCGCACAATTGCACAGTGCGGACGTCGCATCCGCATATTTCCAAGGTCGTCCTCTTGATAGAGTTCTCATTATGAGACAACCCCGAGGAGGTCTCCCGGGAGTTGATCCAGAGGTGTTTTTCCTTGTGCGGGTGCCTATATATGGATTGACTGACAGCGGTCGAGGTTTTTGGTTGAGGTTGGACGGAGATGCCCGATCCAGTGGCTTGAAACAATCCAAGTTTTACCCAGGATTGTATTTCCTTCCAGGTACCGACAAAGATTGCGTTGCACTTATGGCGACACATGTGGATGACATCTTGTATGCATACATTCCTGAGGGAAAGTCAGTGATCGACAGCTTCTTGGAGAAGTTCAACTTGGGATCAAGTGAATCAAATTCGTTTCGCTATTGTGGCAAGCAATTTGAGCGTACTGCAGATGGAACAATCACACAAGACACTTGTGACAACACCCGTCGCATCAAGCCGATCAAGATCGCGCCAGGAAGATCAGCGTCCGAGCCGTTGGGTAAGGATGATGTGACCCGATTACGATCTGTAACGGGATCATTGGCATGGGTGGCAAGGCAGACTAGACCCGATTTGGGTTATCGTGTGAGCCGCCTACAGTCCAGTATTTCTGGAGCGACAGTTGCTATTTTGCACGACGCAAATGCCGTAGTACAGCTGGCACAACAAGGCATTGAGAACAAGCTCATTTTTCCAGGTGGACATCTAACCTGGGGAGAGGTTGGTATCATTACAGTAACAGATGCTTCATTTTCAAACGAGAAGAACTACAAATCACAACAAGGACGTTTCCATTTTCTTGGAGACATCAATGAGATCAAAGACCCCAAGACTACATCCTACAGGGTGATGCCATTGGGATTTGCATCAAATACAATTCGGCGAGTATGCCGCAGCACTCTTCAATGCGAAGCTTATTCACTGCAGGCTGGACAAGAGAGCGGTGACAAGCTACGTGGAGCATTGGCCGAGCTGATGGGCCAACTTGACTCGATGAAAACATGGTTGGATGACAGCCGCAGCTGTATTCCACAACTGATGCTTTCAGACTGCAGGTCTTTAACAGACCATCTTGCGAATGAGGTACTCGGCAGGGTCGCAGACAAACGACTCGGCATTGAGTTGCAGTCGATTCATGAGTCGCTTTGGCAAGACGGCCGGAGGACCTGGGATATGCATCATGGCGGAGGAGACATCGTTACCTGGATTGCTACAGGAACTATGGTCTCGGATGCTCTGACCAAGAGCATGCGCCCGGACCTCATCATCCGCGTCTTGAAGGAGTGCATTTACCGTGTACAGAAGAAGCCTTAGAGCCAACTTTTTCACTAGCATCATGTGATCCTTGAAGAATATGTTGAGTGTGAGTTTGACCTGTCTAATGTATATTTTGTATAGCCAAGTGATCACATGCCCCCGTTGACATTTGGCTGTAGGGCCCTTGAGTCATACCGCGCTGCCGTGGTAAAAGTTGGGCACTAACGATCCCGTTTCCAATTCAGACACTTTTTTGTCAGATAGGCTTTCAAAGTGCAGCTCACATGGTTTTTTTTGTTTGGGGACTCTGCCCCCCATTGGTTAGAGATTTCTGGAACTCTCGGAATGACGGTAATATCAATCACCATTGTTTGTCAGAAGTCCCCGTTTTTGCTGTTTGGATCAGCATTGAATTGTGGTCAATCACACGTAGTGTTTGGTTACACCACCATTTATCTTGAAGTGAATAACTAAAAAGTCCTGTTGATGATACATGATATTGGATGCCAACGTTTATTGCTTACTATCAATGCGGATTAGTCAACCCTGACTATTGCTTGCTTACCCCTGAAATATCTTCCTGTTGAAACTGGCACCCCCCCATATCAATAGATATCTCAATACACAGGTTTTCATAAATCCAGGGTTTACATAACTATGTCAAAATCTACACATCAAGATAGACACTTTTTCTTCTTTTACTTTTATTATTATATATTTTTTTTTTAATAGAACCTAATTACATATACATTATGTATATATTATGTATACATATATGTCCCAATTTTGGGTCAATTTCTGATGTCCTGTTGTTCAAAAAATCTGCCAG